CTTCAGCTTTATTGTATGCATTAACTGACCACACTGTGGCACATAAAATCCAATTACATACTATAGTATAACTGCTGTTTATTTTATGATTAGCATAGTTTATGAATGTGAATCAGTCTATTTTAATCAGCGCCAACAAAGAAAATAATGCTGTTTTCTATGCTGGTATCCCAAATATTTATATGAAAATAAGCAAACGCCTTGCAGGCTTAGAGGTCACTAATTGTGATTACTAAATACCTCTTCTCAGGCAATACCCTTATCATTAAAGAAAATGCTTAATTAGGCAGAATTGAGCGGCTATAATTTAAAAGGAAAATTGAGAAAGGTATTGCAGGGTGCCTGTATTAAACGTACAGCAAAAAACAAACACTTTTGGAAAGAAAGTGTATTTCCAGAATCTTAACCCCTTCCGTGCCCCTTCTGTTGTTTTTTCCCCCTTGGTTTGCCAATGCAGCTGTGAACTTTTTCTGTCATTGAGAGTCCTTCAAGGGATTCCATCAAGGAAGATGGCATTTGAACAGACCAGTATGAAACTACTCATACGCGATTTGCTGCCGTTGACCTCTGTTCGATTTTTACTTTCTGAAATGTTTCAAGATTGATTGGTGAAAATTTTTACTTTTCATCACATTTTGAATAATGAGATGCTGTCTAATTCTTGGTGATATATTTCAGCTATTAACTTTCTGCTTGTTGAAAAGAAATCGGAATACTTTCAGTTCTGAAGTTTGAAGGCATTGTGATTCTGTCTGATGTTAATGCTGTCTGGAGATTTCTGTGACCAATTACTTCCCTGAATGCCATTCTATGCTGCCATTTCTTTAGTGTCCCCGATTTATCTCTCAGAGCCTTTATGACTTTACGTTTAGCTGTTATGGAGAAGCAGAGCAGGTCATGTGGTTACCCAGAGGCATTAGTATGGTAATTTTCTTCAAGTTGAGTAGGTGGAAATAATTAATGGACCGCTTTATTGATGTACATAGATAGACGATTCTCTCTGTGGTTTCAATTCCCAGCTTCAATAAAGTAGCTTGAGATTTTATCTGAGGGACCAGTAATTACACAGGACAAGAATAATCACTGCACAAATACAATTTGATTGTGTTTTATGCTGTTGCCAGGGCTGATGTTAAAGCTTAAATGTATAAACAAGGAACTGCTGCATTAATAAGTTGACTCTTCGTATTTAAGCTCACAGACTCTGGAGTAACTTAAATTCAGAAAATCTGTGCTCTTACAAGAGGAAGTTCCAATCTTAGCGTAACACAAATAATTTCACTGTCTCACCTTGACTTCATCTTGTGCTATGGACAGTGACCAGGAGCAGACTCCTTGGGGAAGATAAGCACCTTCTGAGCTGTACTTCCTTTCACTTCCAGGAGGATATTGAGGCATTCCCCGGTTCAATGATATCTGCAAAGCCATTTTAATTAACATTTGGTGGAACATCAATGAATTTGCAATCACCTTATCCTGTTTATAGGAGTGACAGCGAAACAAACTCTAACAGACAGTTCAATTTTTCAGTCCTGTTTTTTGGGGGGATGGTAAGGACAAAGCTACTTCCACGTGTCCGTTTGTCTGTAGCCCTGCAAGGAGATCCCTGAAGGACTCTGTAAGGAGGGCTCTTTAAAAATGAAATGATATTTGCGACTTCTCATCCCTGTGAGACAGCACAGATTTAAATGATGACTCTGACAATTCAAGTCACCACGGTATTCACCCATGATTTCTGACTGACTCCAGTGAATTTGTTTGTTTTATCAGTTTATATTAAAAAACATTTTTCCAGTGCTTGAATTGGAGGCAGTTTCTCAGATTCGTTCCCCATAAAGAAGGTCCTGTGTGGGAACATCCCTAGGCACCTCTGTAAGCAGTAAGGAAAAGAATTGATAGAGCTTTGCTCTCTGTGTTATCTTTCATGTGCTTCTTTTACAACTTCATCATCAGGTGGCCCTACAGACACGGGCAGGATCCTTGCCTCTCACACACTGGGAAAAAGTTATTAGTGGTTTTTATGCCGTTAGAAAATTGTTCCTCGGTATCTTCTTTTGACTTCTTTACTTTAGTTTTATACCTAACATGTCAGAGTTTATCATATTTTCCATTTTTTTTTCTTTGGAAAGAAAAAGAAAATTTTTTGAAGGATTATTTCTTCTAGCTGCCTTCTTTCTTTTTCTGATGAAGTTTCTGGCTTTTCCCTGTCAGTACTTGAAGACAAGCTCAGCATAAAAAACACCTAATTTTGATTAGATTCCAGTCATCCTGGTGCCCATTTTATGGTTGTTCTGTTCTTTTTAAACAAGCCAACCAAGCTTCTTCATTTTCAGGTGGCTCTTAATTAGATTACACAAAAATCTACCATACGAGGGTTTTTATTCATATGAAAAACAAGGAAATTCAATATAGTATGAAATCTCCTACACAGACTCTCTCTCCTACAGACACTTCTTAAACTAGAGCCCCTGCATTGCTCAGATCTAAATCAGAGGTTGTTCCTTCAAGGAAAGTTTTGCACAGCAAACATTCTGGAGCAGTTTTACACACGCAAGCCCACCTACCACCAAGTGCTCTACACCCAGAGCCAGGGGTGCCAAGAAGTGCAGAGTTGTTTCCCCCTGTCCAAGTGGGGCTTCTGTCCCTTCTGAGCTAGATCAAGTTCTTTTTTTACAGTAAGTGCCTCACAGCAACTCTTCAGAAAGCACCTCAAAAATTCCAGTTAAGAGCAAGATGCAGGAACAGAACAGGACAGAATGCAGAAACTTCTGTGTAATTCAGTTCTCCATAGCCAGAGAAATTATGTGGGAGACAAGTCTTAACTGTCACAGCCATTTCATCACCTACACCTTTGAGTCCAACATCATTTTTTACTACGATGAAGTAGTATTTAGGATGTAGAGCACATCCCTCTGATCCCATGCTACACAACCTCTGCCCCCTCTCCCAACACAGAGCTGCTGCACCCTTAGAGATGCTCAGAAGCCGCCTGGAGATGAGTGGCTCCTCCTGAGCAGGGAGGTTGGATGAGGTGACCTCCAGAGCTCCCTTCCAGTCTCATCCAGTCTGTGGCTGTGTGACATGGATGTGCACTGCTGGATGTCCAACACACGCTGTGGGCAGCATGATTACAGTCTGTGAGTTCATGGCGCATACAGAAGGGCACCTTATTGGGCACTCTTCCTTCTCTTTTCCTCTTGAGATGTATTTATTCAGGCAAATATTGGTGTATCAGTGGGAGAATAGCATTCAACCCTGACTGTATTGTTCTAGCTGTTGTTATGCATAGGTTTGGTAACAGCCTTCAAAATCCCACGTTCAAGCACGTTCATACATCTCAATAAAACTTCTTCCCAGTAAATTGGAAGAAATTCTGTTAGGAGAAATGTGAAGACATGACACTGGTCAGGGCAAAACTTGTCACCTTTTGTCTGTGTAATGTGCTGAGAAGCAAGCTCAAGCAATGTAAGTTTAGGATGATTTATAAAGATAGAGATGACACGATCACTATATAGCAAGTTCTGGCAGAATGACCAGTAGCTTGAGAGCCCTGTTAAACGAGATCATAAACTGCTGTGTGGGCTGCATGCAAACCAGCTTGGAAAGGGGCTCCTGTGTGATGCAGGAGCCAGGCTGCTGTCAAGAATGCTTCAGAGGTCCACACACAAAGGTGCATTGCATCCCCACTCATACGTGACTGGATTTCTATGGACACACAGTGCAGGTAACTGTGGTGAGGGAGAAACTATTTCATTAATGACTTAGTCTCTACTAGAACATTGCCTGATGGAACAAAAGCTGAAATAACAAAAGAACAATATTTTGCTGCTTTCCCCCTAGTAGAATCTTGTCTTCTAGTTAACCTGGAATAATAGAATAATGACTATTTTGCTATGTTTTCCTAGATTCAGCTACTAATTTCTTTAGACTAGACAGTGAATTCGGCACTCATTTTTAATTTAAACCTTGATGTTCTACATAAATACTTCTGGAAATTTTCCATTGTGCTTCTGAACACTTTTCTAATACTCTGAGCATCTAAGAAGCAACACTAATCACTTGAATTTAATATAATTAGTGATTAATATTGCACAATGTCACTATCCACTGGTTAACCAGGGTGTTCAGTCACCCTTAGGTCACCCATAATTAACCTTCACTTGAAGCATAAGCAATCTTTCTGATCCCAAAGAAAAGTTTGCCAGCATTGTACTTTTTGTTCAACCACGTATTCATAGGTGTATCCAGAAGTAATGCTTCCAAACATTTCCACAGAAACTACAAAAGCTACAAAGGCAGGATAACACTGTCTATCTATTAGAGCAGATTCTCACCTACAAACACTGTTTTCAACACAGTCGCCACCATTAGCTGTACATCTTCTCCAGCCACCAACAAGAGCTGCGCGCCACACTCGTAGCAATCTGCAGCAGCAGAGGTGGCCCAGAGCTGTGACTGCTGAAATGCACCACTGCCCCTCTCTGTGCCCACATGCCCTGCTTGGTTTTCATCAACATCCAATTGGAACTTTTTTTTAACAAGATATTTGATGGGGGGTTCATGGTGTGCGTTTTTCTTACAGTTATGCTCTATTTTAACAAATTCTAGTAAACCTGAAATTTTTTAAAAGTGAGTAAAAAGGAATGGTTTCAGTCTAATGACACACTGTGTAAATTTACCATAAGGACAAATGAGCAACATACCTATCACTAAGTAAATATTTGATAAAACTAACAGCAAAAAAGCTATTTGTGGCTGAATTTGGGATTATAGCTACTCAAACATACACCTTCTTTCCTGGTACAAATGTGTAGGGAACAATATTTGATCTTTGTTTAAGAAGTTTTAATATCAAGTGCTAGATGGATTTGCCCGTTTTCAGTTTCAGTGTGTGCACGCAGAACGAATGACAAGTCTGATTACCTGGCTGTCTGCCTTGTGTCAATCTCTCTAGGCTTTCCAGACTTTTCTTGAACTTGCACTTGCTTTATATTTTACAGTTCCCTCCTTTTGGGGTTTGGTGAACTCAGCTTGGAATCTTTGCTCTGTTGGGAAAAGGCAGTCACCCGTCAATATCGAAACCAGCCATATGATTTTTGATCCATTCCTAACTCCGCTTCGCATCAACACAGGGGGAAGAAAGGTATGTGCTCTTTGTGTTCTGCTATAAAACCAAGAAGATAACAGGGAGTTACGTGCTACATATCTGGGCACGGGACAGGCAGTTAAAAATGATCTAGTTTCTGTGTAATCCAGACAATGCTGGCACTGAGATTCATAAGGATGAATCTTCTATTGGATATATCCTGCCATAAATTAATTAGAAAACAAAAGGACAACATTTACTTTAATAGATCTGAAGTATATCTTCCAAGAATAGTTGATCAAATGAAAAACAGGCTGGCAAAGATGAGCTCATCTATAAAAAAAGTCTTATTCAGCTAAAATTAGCATGATAATTTCCTTTGAAAAGCGACTGCCATAACTGACTAGCTTATAACCTCTGTTCTGATCAATAATCTTTTTTAAAGATATGCATAGAAACTGTCCTGTTTACCCAGATTTGGGTATCTGAATAAACTGCTGTGTGAAAGCAGAGCCCTTTCTGATACGCTCACGTGCCCACGTGTGGCTCAGGAGGTGGACTGCTGGCACACCAAAGGTAGAGGCAGAAAGCAACCTTGATAAATAATTCTGCTCAAACTGGTGGAGATCGTTGTCTGAGGTGTGCATATGTGCCAAAATATCACTGATAGGTCCTCATCACTGATCTTTTTTTACTGCATCTAAGTTATCATAGGAGCTAAAATTTGTCTAAAAAGGTATTTTAAAGATTTGTTGCTTATTGTAGGCAGACAATTCTCTTCTGCTGTTCAGTTTTCTGCAACAAAGAACAATGCAAATGGAAAAACGCTGTGACTTACAGTGCTGGAACAAGCAGAAACTCTAACAAAAGGTTATTCGAAAATGATTTATCTTCTCCCGTTGTCTTGACAAATGAGATTTCTGCTGGAAACGCCATGAGATGGGAATATGCTCTGTGTTTCCTATTGAGCTTCTTGTGGTACAAGTGCACACACAACAGAATTGATGTAAACCTCCTTACAGAAGTGAAAAAATGGTGGTATTGTTACTTACTGAAGGACAGTAGTGCTTCCAGCTGTGGTCCACGTTTCAGGGGAAAATGTGCTTTTTGCCTTTTATACAGAACTGCATTGGAGCCTTTCTTTCTATTAAAAAAAAAAAAAAAAAGACAACAAACGTATTGATTCAAGCATTTATATAAAGAATGACATCTTTCAGGTTATTTATAAATTACGGAATGATATAACATAAAAGTCAAGAAAGAAAAGACATGTAAGCAATCACTGAGCCAAAGCCAGGAGTTTCAGGATATGCAGTGACTGCAGCTGTCCTAAGAATTCAGCTGGGTTTTGTGCCAGTTTGGGATGAAGGAAGTGTCTGATTATTAATAAAATGTCAGAGGCACTGAGGGCCTGGAGATGTTGTCAGAAATGAGATGTCCTTGTTGCACTCTCAAATGCTGTCCTGCTGCTGCCAGGCGGTGATGGCTTTCTATCGTGCTATGAGAACAGGATTTGTTCTAGTTGTGGTTAATCTTTTTTAGAGGGATTTCTAAAATGGCTGAATCAAAATGCTCTTTTGAGGAAAAGCTGCCTTAAGATAATTCTTTCCTCATAGTTAAGGCTTCAGTGAGGAGGTGATTTGGCAGGCAGCATGTTTATGCTCACTCTTTGCAATGTTTTTTATAAAGTGGATGTATGTTTCTTATGGGCTGAAGCACTTCAGCTTTCAGGGCAATGAACCAGCTGGTATGGCAGCCAAGGAATTTCTATGACAAGACTTGACTGTAATTGTGTTGTAAACTAAAGGGTTTTATGGAACTGATCCTAAGAAAAAATGATGAATTAATAAAAAAGGAATTTGCAGGTAAGCACACAGAGACAAAATTATGCACGTCTTTTTGAAAAGGGGGCTGGCAGGAATTGTGCCATATGAGAGCAGGTAGACGGAAGGAAGCCTTCCACCTGTCTAGCCCCTTCCATCAGAAAGTTTGTTTCAGTATTAGTAATGGAAGACACTTTGGAAAACCATATTGGTTTTCCAATTCCAACTGCAACTTTTTAGACCACTTGAGAATTAAAAGCTGTATTTTCTTGTTCCTAAAGAAAAGTGGAGGTCTAAAAGGGGAGTACAAATGAACAACATTGCCATCCTCCTACCCCAGTGCCAGCAAGAGGAAAAGAGTGCAGACAGTGGCTGGTTACAAAGCAGATGACTTAACAGATACTGCTGACCTGAGGCTGAGAAGAAACTTCTTCCCAATCCATTCAGGAGCAAATGGGATGGCAATGTAATTTGCTAAGTAGATAAACCTCTTTTGATCCAATTTGCACAACAAAGTTCCAGAGAGCAATGGTAATATTGCTTTATGTGCTGTTAAACCATCGCAGTGCAGTATCAGCTCATGCAATTTACAATTCAAGTATAGTCAGATGTTATTCTGAATTGTGCTGTGTTATTTTGTATGTTTGTGCTTCTTAATTTCCTGAGAAAGTGGCTTTTCAGGTCCTCAAGGCTGAATATCATTGATACAGTTAATTGGATTTCAAGATCCAGAATCTGAGCACAAGATATTTAATGAGTTTTACATGCAGATAAATTCCCCAGAATAAATGCTGCTTTTGAGGAAACTCCCCAAGTTTCAGCTCTATCTCAGGCCCAGTTTTGTCTCTTGATTATCCGCTTTAGTGAATTGAACAAGCAGCCCTTTTCAGATAAACAACCCATTTTAATAAACAATATAAACTCTTATTAATATGCAAATCACACTTCTTCACTCTGTCACAAAGAAAAATATAGACTTATTTTCTCTACTTTTTCCTTTGGATTCAGCAAGCACTGAGGCACCCAGCAACAACTGCAATACAGCAGGATAACTTCCCTGCCGAGCTGCTGTGACAGGCAGCAAGTGCTGCCTCCAAAGCAAAGTTTCCAGCTCTCATGTAGGTACTGTTGCTGGCAGCAGATGAACAAACCACCCCGTTGTGCACTGAGCCAGTCCTCTGCTGGGATTTCCTCCCTCATTCACCACTGCTGGCAGTATCTTTTCCGCAAGATCTCTCCCCAAAACTCGTTCCCTGATCTCATGTAACCCATCTCATCTCCTGATTTTCTGTGGACTTACTTTGAAGAACCCTATTTCCAAGGTTCTTTAAGAGTAAATTTTCTGAAGCTCCAGTTAGGTGAGAAGCAGTTATAGACATGCAAACATAGTACTCTGTTTGTAAATTTAGAGCAGAAGTTTATCGTGGCTCTGCACATATTGGTCCAAAGCGGATCTGCGAAGTTAAGCTTTGCTGCTGTCTTGATTTGCATTCTACAATCCATAGGGGACATTTTGTTTTGCAAACCTCCTCACATTTAAAGGAAAACTTAGATTTCCCTTAGAAATTTGTAAATACATGTGTGTATAAAACACAGAAACAAACGAGAGGCCTTGGAAGTATTCTAAATGAAATCAAGACTGAAAGGCAGCAGCAGAAATACCTGTGATGGTAGAGGCCACATCTGTGCCCAGCTGTACGCGTAGGATTACGAGCTTGAATAGCTGACGGAGCAGCAGAGCAGGGCCGTGCTTTGTTGCAGCTGGAGCAAGAGATCAGCGTGCGATAAGCTGGGCTCTGGGTGCCACTGTGTGTCCCAGGCACGGCTTCACCCACCTGTGATCTCCATGTGTGCCACTTCTGCCTTTAGATTTTCAAGTTCTTGGCAATAGTGCTCTCAGCACAACTGATGGGTTGTTAAGATTTCTTCAGGAAATCTTTTTTTCCACCTAGCATGAGCTTTGTTTCTTAGCAGTTCTTGTCCATACTTTTTTTCCCCCTTCTAAAAATTTGTTAAGTAACACATTTATTAGACACAAAGTGAATCTTGCCAACTAATTTACCTTGTAAGCAATATCCTGTGTTGCAATCATTTTAGGTCACGCTTGCAGGCTTAAAGCAGCAGTTGAAAGCAGGTAAAGTTTGTTTAAAACCACTTTGTTTTTAAGATGAGGAAGAACATTGTGTCTGAGGAAACAAGCAGCTCTGTGTCTGCTGGCCAAGGGCTGTTCCGTGCTTTCTGGAGCTCAGTGTGCTAAATTAAAGCTGTTCAGTAAAACCCATAAGTCTGCTTCCTTATATGGGGCATTAATGAATGCAATCACATATTATTTAAATTAATATATTTATAAATAATGGGTTCATACTATGCATCACAAGATAATGGCAATATTTAGCAATTTCTAAACTAAAAGAGTGAGAGAAAAGAGATTTATGAATTGAAATCAGCTAAATGGTTTCTCTGCCAGCTAGTTCTGATTCCATGCTGTTCAATCAATTCAGAGTATTACTAGCATTTTTCTCAAGAGTGCAATATATGACAACCGCCAAGCTTTGCTTTGGTGATTGCTAAAAGGACAGATACTGGTCTGAGCCATATTTCAGCACTGCAGGAATATAAAAAATGAATTGTTAGAAATGGTCCAGGAGGAATGGGTAGCAATAAGACATCAATGTCACCTGTAAACTGATTTGTGATGAATTTTTAGAGAGCTTACTAATATGATGTTTTGATTTAAAGAGGCTTTAGAAAGTCAAAAATCTACTGCAAACATTAACAGCCTTAATGAATAAAAAAATGCATATAGTGTTGCTGCTTAAATAGTTTTCTGATACAGTAATAAGTGAACAGAAAATTAAAGTAGCAGGTTAAAGTAACTGCTGTATATTAGCCCTCATCACTCAGTATTTAGAAAAGGAAAAATGGCTGAGCACTGCTTCAGAGTTATTTAGGGAAAAGCTTTTATCTAGAGTCTGGATTTGTCTCTAGTGGTGTTACTGTTTCCTTATCACTTCAGTGATGGAATCAGTTTGGAACGTGGGGACTCAGATGGGCACCTTTGTGTTTCCCTAAATTTCTGGATGCTGATGGCAATGGAACACCACTGAAATCATGAAGGAGACCTGAATGGCACTGGCATGCATTTCTGCATCTCCTTCACACCATCAAGGTTTTGTGGCTTCAGTACAACTCCTCTGCTTGCCTTTTAATCTGGTCCAGTGCCATAAAAGAAGC